TGACACAGCACTCTCTTCCTGCATGGCCATGACCAAACCCACACCAAGATTCAGCCCTCCAACTCCCATGCCATAGGAAATGAAGATCTGAGAAAACATTGGCAAAGCAAAAGGAGCAGCAATGATCTCTCCTTCCCCTGAGTAGAAGGAGGATAAATACATTTCAGAATGTAAAGAGATTGATACTATGGAAATAGGAACTCTTATAAGTTACTCAGTTCACACACGTGCAACTCCCCGAGGGTGTAACTAGGGTTGTTCTGGTTTTTTACTATTATTGCTTGAGGCATTACACCTGAAAATGCCAGATGTATTTAAATCAAGTGTGGTGGTGTCACTGCATAGTAACAGTGTTTTATCAGGGGGATGAACTGGTCTGCTTTCTCTCTCAAGAGCATTTGGAAGAGTATGATGCAGAGTGGTTTGGAAGGCAGATGGGTTCCTCTCTACTGGAGAATTACATTTTTATTAAAGTAGCTGGTTGTTGCTTCTGTGGAGGGCCAGTGGCGGCCGCTGTGATCAATAGAACTGTGCTTTTTATGTAAGATTTACTCTAGCTTGTCCCAGTTTTGCCGAGAATGTTCAGCTTGCAATCGATAACAAGCCGTGATGACAAAGTAGCTCGTTTCAATTGAATTTGATGTCATTAAAAATGTTAAAAAAACTATTGTCTCTTCCACCTTTTTCTTTTTTAGAGAGAAGCTGTTCAATGAGAAACTTTGGTGCTGCCCTAGCAACCCAGCAGAGTGAGAATAACCACCCATCTGTCTCAGCCTTGCCAATGTTTGTCTATGATTATCATGGCTGAATCCAGCATCTTGTGCCCTGTGCTTAGACTGGGCTGTGGCTGCAATTTCCCAAGAAAAGAGGTGCCCATTGATGAGGGGAGAAGATTCCTGATGGTGGGCTGTGATGTGATACCAGGAAGCCTCCAGAGTAATTTTAGTTGATACTGCTCTTACCTCTGGAATCAGGCTCCTTTTGGCCTTTGGCATTAAGAGTCTGATTTGTAATTAGAAGAATGACACTATGATAACTTTAAGCTCTGGAAGGTAACAGTTGCCATGTATCTCATAATTTTCCATTTCCAAAGTCAGAACACATTAAGTAAATATCCTTCTCGTGCCCAGAATGGGTGATTATCTTCTGTTCTGACTTGAAGAAACCTTGATGCAGGGACTAACTTGCTCAAACTTTTGGAGAGCAGCCACTTCTTCTGACTCTGACTGGAGCACAATTGCATTTACCAGGCTTGTCTTGCACATTTCAGTTTGTTTAATTTCCTATTAAGTTCCTCTTCTGGAGCAGGGGTGTAAAGTAACTTCTTACTCTTCCAGGAAGTCAAATAATTCCTGGCTCAGGTGCTTCAGGTCACAGTGACGCAGCATGGGGAGGATCACAGCAGTAACTTTCCACAGCAAAATAAATGGTTGCAGAATTTAATTCATCTGGGAAGTATTCTGAGTTTTAAATTTGACTTTTCCTCTCCAATCTCCAATGCAGAATTGTGTCTGCATCTATAGAACATGACATTTTCTAGGGAAAGCAGCCCTTGGAAATCATCTTCCAGCTGCTGTAGGGTTTTGGTTGGTTTTGGTTTTCTGGGATTTTTTTGATTTTTTTTTTTTTTTTTTTGCTTTGTCCCACATCCTGCTTTAAAAGCATCCTGGCACCCAGAATGTTCCCATCAGCAGAAACAGATATTTTAACATCACAGCCGGGCAGAGAGAGATATGTGTGGCTACAGAACTGCCTAATCCTTCCTCGTAGGTGAGTCAGCTGGGTTAAGCATCTCCTCAGAGCAGGTAGTCCCTCCTCTGAGAGCTTCCCAGTGAGGGGCTGCAACAGCAGAATAAGGTGAAGGGGAATGGGATGAAATACACCAGGGCCAAACCACCTTGCTATCTGTAGTTGGTTCAGGAGAACACTCTCTTCAGACAGGCTTCAAGGTGGATGGAGCTGAAGTCTGACAAATGAGCTTGGAGACCCTGCTGTGTGCTTGGAGCAGGGGGAAGGCAGGATGAAGCGACTGTAGACCAGGCTGACAGACGGACTTTGTGCTGGTTGCTAGGCAAAGGCAACTCATGTCTGAGCCAGAAATCCCCAAACTCTCCCAAGGAGAACAAGGGCTGGAAATGAGGGTTGCTGCTACTCCAGTGCCAAGGAACAACACTTTATTTTGTTAGGAGCATGGTCCTGCTTTATTTTCTTCCCTTTTAGCTGCTGGACATCAGTGGCAAGGTTAACTCTGCCGTAGGTGGGGAGAACTCCTTGCTGTGGCCTGTTTCACATCTCTTGTTTTGTTCTGTTACAATTTCATAACCTCAGCAACAAACTTCTCCCCCTCCTCCCTCCTTATTCCCCCTCTCCCCTCCTTCCCTTACTCCAATGGTTTATGAGTTTTGTGCTCTGTGGCCTATTAAGGTTCAGTTCCCAGCCAGTAAAAATGAGGAATTGGTTCCTGCCATTCCACGCAAGGAGTTTTAATGCACTCGGTCTCCTGGAAGCCTAAATGTTTTGTATCGGTGATAGTTGTGTAACATAAAGCCTTAATAAAGGTTTATAAGGGAAGGGATATGAAATGGAGCATATGGAGTTCAGCTCTGTCTGTGGCTCTGTTGGAGAGTTAAACCAGGGAAAATGTGTTTCTAGGAGAGCTGGGGGTCTGTGATGTGTACAAACACCTACTGTTGTGACCCTCCCCATCCCAGCTGTGTTGTCTCCTCCCTGAGATAACAAAACATCCACCCTCTGAACTCTCCATGGGAACAGTGAAGCACTGGCCTGAAGAGACATGGTTCTGTTCGAGGTGTGGGTGTCCAGGGTGGACTCTTGTGTTTTGCATCCTGAGGTGTCCTCTGCTGCCCGTCTCTCCAGAATCCTTGGAGAAGCACTTCCCTCCACAAGTTCTTTCCAAACTTGTGTGTGCAGGGAAGGTGCCTGCATGTACAGGTAGCAGGTAGAGGGGCACCATCTCTCTGAACACCTTGCTCAACTTTGGGCTGAAAAGCTGGGTTTTGCTTCCACTCCATCTCTTCCTTGATCTTTTCACAACGATCCTTGGAAAGCAGCTTGCTGTCACCCCCTTTTGTTGTCACCTCCATTTGCTGTCTCACCTTTTTTGGGTTGTAAGATCTTCAGGATGCTGTCTGCTTCTGTGCAGTGCCTAGCACAATCTTCAGTGGCCAGTGAGGCATCTAACACATGTATTTAATATTTAATAGATTTGTAGGACTCAGATGGGAAATACAGAGACAGTCTCATACCTACCCCTTGTCTTTTCCCCTCTTTCAGGGATGGTGCCACACGCAGTTACAACTAGCCTGCCCCATCAATTGATAAAACACAAGCTTTTTATGAGCTTTCCTATCGAAATTCTTGAAAGCAGGTGCATGGGAATGCATTTAGTAGGGTTTGAGGGGTGCCCTTTAGCTGCCTTATGGTATGCAAACATGAAGGTATTTTTTGGTGGCTTTGTTCTTTAGCAAAGCAGCAAATAATTTCCTCTTCATTTTATTGAAATGCCTCATAAACATGAGCTTCTAAAGGGATAGGGATGGCAGGCTTTTGACATATAGGGAGTTTGGTTTTTCCTCCCAGATCGTTGAACAAAAGGAAGCAAAAACATGAGAAAGTCTTTCCTTCTCAGTCAGCCTTGTGTTCTCAATATTTTAAATTTTAACTTTCCAGAAGTCTTCACGAGGGTGGGGAAAGCACTGACTTTTATTTTGCTGTTGCTGTTGTTTTCTGTGCTCTCTAGACCAAGTCCCATTCCCAGTCACCTCAAATTCAGATTTCTGTATGGTTTCTATTTTTATGACAAGGATTTGAAACACAAACATAGAAGTTTTGATGACTTTGAAGAAAGTTTGTCTTCTAATCCTAAGGTCTATTTCTTATTTCTTCAATATTGTTCTTGCAGTCTTTTCACAGTTTCAGAAATTTAAATTCAGATCTGATTACAACTGATTTAATTGTCAAATTTTAATATACACATTCTCAGGCTTAGATTTCAAAACCAATTATGTTAAAATATATGTATGGTGTTTTGGTTTTAGTTGTTTGTTTGGTTTCTTAACAGGTTAGACGAAATAAATATGTGAAAATGGTACATTAGGGATCAGTGGTCTAGTCCTTAATATTGCAAGAAAAATGCAGGAAGAGTTTAACTCTAAGGAAGACAGTGAACTGTCCTTAGTGATTAGAAATGGTGCTTCTGCAAGGTGTAAATTCCCCATAAATGTATTAAAGGATATTAACAATAAAGCCTAAAAATGATGGATGAATATTGCAATGAACTTTTTCATTGCTGATCAGGTTAATAGATGGGGTGAAGAAGAAGGCTAGTATGAGGCCTTCTAAAGGTCCTCAGGAGTTATTGCAGAGGACAAAAAGAGGAGAGATGAAATAGAGAAAATAGATATGGATAATAACCGTGCTTCTGAACAAGTGCAGTTTTCTCCTGTTCAACAGAGGTGACAGAGTAATAGCAAGTGATAACTAAATTGGTGTTTCAGTAATTGCAAAGTCTTCGTCCATGCCTTAGCATCCTACTACTGTTCTTGGGTTACTCTGATGAGAGGACAAAGTAGTCTTAAATAAATATACTTGTCTAATGTTCCAACTCACAAAAGGATCATGGGCTTTTTTGAATGTTGATAGGCTGCCTCACATGCAGTTCACCTGCAAGCAGCACAGGACAGCTGTACCTCACCTAGTTTTGTCTCTGGAGGTGTCTTAAGTGACACAGGTTGCCATCCTGTGTTTCTCAGTATGTGGGTTGATGTTCAAAAAAGTTTCAACCATGGTTTGACTGATTTTCTCTAATGGATATGTTTCTTTGGCTTAACGTAAATGTTTCCAGGGACATTATACCATTGATTGGTGTGGGGTACCCGTAGAAAGGATGGTGACCTTAATATCATGCCCAAGTTCCTTTCCACTCCTTCAGAAAATGTCCTGTTCAGCCTAGACTAAACCACTTTGTCTTACACTCAGAATAGTGTTTGAGATGGGTGGCTCATATTGAAATCAGTATGGATCAATTGCAGATACAAGCTCTGGTTCTCTCTTGGCTTCACTTCCATGTGTGCAAAATGGTGAGAGAGGCAACCTCTGCCCCACAGAGCAGGAGGACAAATACATTAAATACTGACAGCAGCTCAAATGCTGTGGTGATGGGAAGGCACACAAGTACCAAGTTGCAAATGCTTCAGACTAAAGTGCCAGCAGGAAGAACAACTTCAGCATTGGAAGTAAGTCATCAGGGTATCTGCAAAGGGAAAAAAAAAATTGCTTGAAAGAATCCCCTGAACAAATTAAATCTTGAGGCCTAAAGACAAAGAGAGAGAGAATTAATTTTTCTACAGATATGAAATGTTCTGAATCAGATAAGTCTTGTCATTAGAAAAGGCACTAAGCAGCAAATGTCTGGATAATACCGCCAGCTCCAAGCTTCTCTTGGAACCTCTAAATACATTAAATCCATAAAACTAAATGAAAGCAGCTGCAGTTTTATAGAAATAAAAGGCTCTCATATTAAAAAGCTAAGAGCTTATGAAATGAAAGAAAAAAAAATAATAATAAAATTAAAGTGGGGGAGGAGGACGAGAGAGAGAGAGGAGTGAAAGTTAGAAACATAGGTTCCTAAGAAAGGATGATGCAAAAAGCTCTGTTAATATGTAAGAATCCTTCAGAGACAAAATAACACGCATTCAGTGCTCAGTAAAAAAGAAGAATAATTTTTTTATTAAAATATTTTTTGGCTTTAAATATAAGATTTAGTGTAAAAATGCCATTTTGCAATAAAACCTTTTAGAGCATTGTGCCCTCTGAAATTCTTGGGGAGGCCCAGAGGTTTTATCCCTTTCCTCATTTCTCCTTCAGTTTCCTGAACTGAAGCATTTTGACTTTCCACTTTGAAACGCTATTCTTCCACCTTTTTAAGTTACAAAAAAAGATAAGTCTTTTTGTCCCTCTCTGCTTTCTCCTTAAACGCATCAGTGCATAGAAATAGCCAAGCACATTTTGTGAGAAATTTTGCTGTTTCTTCTCTTTGTGGGAAATGGAACAAGGTTTCTGTCCAGCAGTAATTCCTCGTGTCTTATGCATCCTTGAGGTTCTGAGAAAAGAATGAAACTGGAGGTGGGGGAATAGTGCGTGCAAAAATAACTTTCATTTGTATGCAAATTTGCTTTCATTAGGATTTTCAGTTCTTCTTTCTTAGATGTATTACAGCAGCGTTTGGAGGCCTGCTGTACAAACACATGAATTCTGCATTGCTAACACCCCTTTGTGCTGGAGCTGTTGAGCCACATCTGCGTGATTTAAGCAGAGCTGCCACTTGTTGTGTCTTGGCTTTTGCAGAGCTCTTAGAGGAGATTCGTCTTGCCCCATATCTACAGTGTTTGAAAGTCAACTGTCCATGCATGATTGGGCTGTCATAGACCCATTTTACAGCCAGGAAAGGGACAGGAACCTTCAGAGACACACTGACCTTTGCCTGTTGGTCTGCATTGCCTATAAAAAGAAGTCTAGGTTGAATAACTCGAACTTGGAGTTCAGATCACTGGCTCCCACTCTGTGATTCCTTGCTGGAACCACTCTCACCAGATGGATGCTTTCTGTTGAAGTTGTGCATCACAGGACTGCTATTTTGCCAGCTATTCAGGAAAACGTGCATGCGGGCCAGATGGCTAAAAGTAGCCTTGATGTGTGGTGATTTAAGAAGGGCTTCTCCTGTTTGCTTCATTTTTTGTTTTTTAGTTTTTATTATATGGAAAGGATGAAGAGGGAGAAGCTGGTTGAACATCCTATTCATAGGAATAATAACTTTTGTAAGGCATTTGAAGGGAAAACAAGGAATTATTTGATTTCCACAAAGAGAAAGGCAAGAGCGGAGACAATGTGATGTCAATGAATACATTTTAAACCAGCTGCCCTTGAGTATGGACTCATAGTTAGAACTGACCTAAGCTCCCTTCCTGACTGCGTCACTGGCTTGATACAAGATGATGGGTGAAATGTGTAACATCCTTCTCCATTAGTCATCTTACTTGAATAAAAGAAATAAAAGCTAAGATATTACCACCGATGACTTCATGCACCAGACTTATTGATATTAATGAGGCCTTACAAATGTTGAAATTATGATAATGCTTTGAAATCTTAAGCTGGATGCTGGTTCTCAGCACAACAAAGTATTTTAAGTGCCATTATCTTTTAAATTCCTGTATCATTTTGCTTTTTGCCTTGTTCTGATGTGTGAAGCCTGTGGAGCAATATCCTTTCCTAGTCCTCTTGTCTTGGCAGGAAGACACAAAGGCCAGGGAAACTTGTGTGATTTATTCTAATTTTCCTTAGAACCTCTCTTGATACGCTGAAACTCCAAGTGGGCAAACGCTCCCATCCAGGAAGTCAAAGCTTGTCAGATGTTACCATGACAACCTGAGTGTAATTAAGGCCCGTTTCAGCTGCTAACAGCTGTGTGCATTTTAGGTCTTGAAGATTTTATATATATACATATGTATATATATATACACATATACACACACATACACACACACACAGAGAAGTGTACTGTGAGGATATCTGCACGTATGTAGCTGTACAGAAACCCACACCTAAATTGCTGCCCCTATACACTTCCATATTAACTGAGCTGAATAAAAAAAATTTGCAGAGACCTTGCTGTTCTTAAGGATGCTGAAGTACCAGAGCTTCTCCACTGCCTTTCCTTTTACAACCACCCATTTTTAATGAAGAGTGGGAAAATAAATATTCATGGCCAAAAAAATAGGAAAACCTTGCTTCAGGGTTAGAGTTTCCAGCATCTTTTCAGGTTGGTCATAGAGACTATAATTTTTGTTCCTATTAAGGAGGAAATAGAAGCTGGTGTTAAATGTCGTTTGCAAATGCATTAAGTTCTGAAGTCACTTAACCTTTAGGTAACTTTTCATGTGTTCCTGCAGGAAGCCATTCTCACGTGCACTGCTCCTGCACTCGGAATGGTGTCTCGGCACCGTGCTCCTCGGAGCGCCGTGTCTCCAGCCTGGGCTGGACCCCTTGCACCCCAGGGCACAGTCAGTTCTGCTCTGCTTGGGTCCTGTGCAGTGACCTCACCAGGAGAGGGAATGGAACCTGCAGGAATGGATACTCAAACCACTCGAAAATAGGTGCCAGACAAATGGTCACTCAGTAGCCAGCCAGGACAAGAACCTTTTGAGCGCTACCTGCAGGAGGTGTGTTCACTGCCAGCTGTGAGACCAGCCTGAGCTCACTGGCTTTCCCTGCCTGTGCCAGAGCCTGCTTGGAGGATGTGAGAGGTTTCATCGTGTCGCAGTGGGTAGCAGAATTGTCACCTAATAAACAGTGGTTTGGTTGGTTGTGCTGAAGGTAGACACGTTTGCTGCGAGTGTGGCTCTTAAAGGATGTGGGGTTTGGGGAGCTGTCACACCTAACTTGTCTGAGGCTGTGAATATATTAGACTCCCACTCAAGTTTAGATACACATCCTTCCAGCAGAGGAGTTTAACACCTCATGGAGCCCATAGGGATAGAGTAAAGCATGGGGAACTTCATAATTAATAATTTATTTTGTAATATATATATAAATTGTCAGAGATTACACCAGTTTCAATAGGAAATTATCGTCAAGGGCTAAAGTCAACTATTTATGGGAAAAGAAAGGAAGATGAGGAGATTAAAAAAATGAAGAACTGCTTTTGGGAAAGATAGTTCACAAAGTGAAAGCAGTGTAATGAAGGCAATAATGGTATTCAAAAGACAAACTCTGGCCACGTCTTCTAAGACACAGATTTGTTGTTGTTGTTGCTGGTTTTTTTTTAATGTCCTCTAGGTTTGCACCTGCTATAAACCATACAAATGTGGATGTCCAGAGTGTATTTGGCTGGCCTTTGGATTTTGTTTTGTTGTTTTATTTTTTTTTTTTAATTATAATAATATGAGCTGGTGAATACAGCTGCGTTCTCCTGCTCTTTCCTTTTGTGTGTGTGAAAATATAGGTACCAAGGGATCCTGTGAACTTTCTGTTTTGGGAAGGAATCTCATTGTGATCTGTATTGTGGGAATGTAGAATTTCCCCTGAGTAAGTGAACAGGGTTATGTCCCTGAATGGTTTTTGCCTGGGGGACAAAGTGGAGGGAGGCTGCAGGCAGAGAAGCCAGCAGTGTGTGATTATGTCCATACGGTCCTGTGTCTAAGGGACAGTTCTCAGAGGTCAGATAACTCTTTGCTGCTCTGTTTTTGAGTGCCTATCTGCAGAAAGGCAAATCATCTGGCATCACTTTGCTTGAAATTCTTTGTCTCAATCCTACACTGTCTTCTGGTCCCCTTGGTCAGAGTGTTTCTCTTTCCACTGCAAGTGATTGTGTCAGGACACTCGGTGTTTTCATTATTTCTTTCTATAGGAGATGATTTCATAGAATAAGTTAGGTATTTTGATTAAAAGATGAGCAAAAATCCACTGGGAATGTGTTTCATTTGTGTACAGGCATGTATAGCTTGGAGTATGCTCAGGCTGGGATACAATAATCACATCCTAGGTACAGGCATCCTTCACTGGGCACTGGTAAGGGTTTAGCTACAGCTGCAAGACAAAGTGGGAGTGGTGTGCTGCTGGTTAGCCTGAATCCAGAGAAATTAGAACAACTTGAATGCCATGCTGTACCTTTAGCATGGCATAAATGATTCCTCAGAGAAAAAAAATACATTCAGCATTTTGTGATATTTATATGAGGGAAGTGCTGTTCAGGGAAAAGGGTGAGATGAAGGTTTCAAACAAAATAAATGGAATTTCATGGAGATATTTAAAAGGGGGAAAAAAGTTGGAATGGTGGGAAGATTGGGGTGACAGTGAGTAGGAGACCTTTGCAGAGTATGGAGCTTTTTATTAGAGGAATTTGTATGGGTTTTGATTTGAAGAATTCTGTGAATGATCAAAACATATTCTTCCTCCACCCACACCCAGTCCCTTTTCCCCCCAAAAAAAACAAAGAAAAATTGATTATGAAAACTGTTCATTTTTGCTGAAATAATTCAAAACTTGAGATGTCAAAGAATGATTTTCAGGTCCAACTTTTACATGTGAAAATCTCCAGTTCTTAATTTCAAGTTGGCATATGCTTTATCAGACTGGAAAATCCTTCTCTGAATGGAAGCAGAAGAAATAATAAACGGGTAATTGGGATAATATGATACAAAGATTAGCTTCCTACATAGCTGCAATGCCTCAAGTAATTTTCTTGGGACCATGATATATCCAGTTATATCTAAGATTATTTTATCTTGCTATATAAATATATATGATATATTTAAATCCCCCACTGATGTTTTATAGCTGGGTAGCCATTTTGTGAAGTGCAAAGTGAATACCTTCAGAGGAAAACATTAGCACCACTCTTTTTGTGTGCCATTTTTGTGTTTCTGCTGCCCTTTCCCTACCCCATGAGAGGTGACACCATGAGGAAAGTGTTTCGCTGACAGTTTGTATGGAGAAGTGGAGGAAGGTGAGGATGGGGTGTGCAAGGGATAGAGAGGTCAAATATTTACAGAACTAGGTCACATTTTCCAAGCTCAACTTCTGTGATTAGCAATCACAAAGAAAAAACTCATTCCTACAGAAACCAGGATGTGCCCTGAATAAGGAGGAGTCTGTAAGAAAATGAAACACACGCTTATCACACAGTCGAAGGATCTACTTGGAAGTGGGAGATTCAGCAGTTTAAATGTGCCTTTGGACTGTAAATAGACCCAAACCCCTATCTACCAGTCAAACAGACTTCATTCCTTTTTAACATAAGATTTACTTTAATTACAAAAGCATATTACCATTTATCACCACACTCTAATCCCTAACCATACACCTCCTTAGCCTCTCTTATCCAGTAACTTTACTCAGCCTACCCTAACTGATATAAATCAAACATATCAAACATATTCATGAACCTCTGTCAAAAAAAAAATAAAAATAAAATAAAATAAAGCCCAAACACCCCCTTCCTCACCAAGTGCAGGATTAAGCCATCAGAGGTGTGCCTGAGCTGAGTCTTGCTTTGCTGCTGCTGAAGCTGTAGCTCACCAGGGGTGCCTGCATCCCACAGGAAGGGACAGGGACAGTCTCCCTGCCAGCCTTGCATGCGTAGCCCATAAATCCCTTTTCTTTCAGCGTGTAGGTGTTTGGTGTCACGGTGCTTTACGCATCTCCTCAGTTGCTGCCGAAGCTGCCTGAGGTCTGCGGCGATGGATCAGGGTTTTGATGTTGGTTTGCCTGTCTGTACACTTTGCTAATTAGAATAACAAAACTGGTAGCAAATCTTCAGGCACCAGCCATGCATTGCATCAATTAAAAACATCAAAAACAAAGTCTCTCCTGGTTCCTCTCCTTTCCACTTGATCTCTTACTCCATGGGATGATGTAACTGATTCCCTAAGTCCTTCTCTTAATTACTGTGCTCCTTCCTTTCTCTCTGAGCTTTCTTGCAACCCCAATTCTCTTCTAACATTTTATTTGCTTGCCCTTTCTTTTGCTGCTAGGGGACACCACTACTCTAATAAGGGAAAACAAGCATTTGCTGAGCTTACGTACTCAGGCAGAAATGTATGAAAATGATTTTTAACTAAATTTTTCTTCTCATTTAATTTGAAGCTGACTTTAAAAATTTTCTTTAAAGTACCAATTTTTACAGCATTTCTTCCAAAGGATAGATAAGTATTGTTATCTCAGTTTCATGTGGGGTATTCAAGACACACAAGTTTGAATTAGATGAGCTCATATGTTCTACTGGATAAATTCTAAGCCACTGAGCAAGTAGGTTGATATCTTAGGACATTGACAAAACATGATTGTATGAAATTTAGATAAAACACCCCGAACATTAATTTTGACAGAGCTTGGATTCAGTTTTGAACTGTTAGCATTTAAACTCACTTCTCATGTTTAACTGATGCAGAAATATAATATACTTGGAGGAAGACATAGACACTGCCCTAAATTTTTTTTTAGGCACTTTAGTATGTGCAAAACAAAGCAGAGGGAGATGCCTCATTGTAAAGATAATTCTTTGTGCAGAGTCTGAAAAATGAGATCATGGTATAAAGAGGCTATTTCCGCACTGATGTAATTTCCTTATGGGCTTCTAATATAATTGTTTATTTTTCTTAGATTAATGTAAAAATAGAAAGAGAGCACTGAATATTTCAGGTGATCCATAAATCATACTGTGGCTATTTTGGTCTTGTCATCTCACTTTGTCCAGCTTGAATTATATGTTGACACGTGGTGGAAAAGAAAAACACTGCTCTGTGGAATTCAACACAAGTGTGCAGGCATGAATATAATCCCCCCCAGCTCACACATACAAATATTACATGCCCCAAAATCTGGACCATCAATATTTTGTCTTTTTTTTTTCCTCCTATTTAGTCTCTCACGTTTTTGATTTTATGTGTGAGTTTTTGCTGTTGCCAATGAAAACTAGGATGGAAAATCTCATGACAGAGGCCAGTACTTCCCCATCATCTTCTCCCTTTTGCTGACTCAGGCAGTTCAGAGAAGCATCTCAAACACAGGGATGTTCCTGAGCCTGAACTCTCAGCCTTTCATGCCTCACTTTTCAGTCTCCTTGCTCTGCTTTCACAATGTTTGTTTGCTTGGCATCACATTAAAACCTACTTTTGCTGAAACTTCTTCTGAAATCTCTCTATCCAACCATAGGCAATGCCCCTATTTCCCTTTCCTCCTTCCTCTCACTCTTCATCTGTGAATACTCAGAGCTGCTATTGGGGAGTGACTTGTACCAGGGCAAACTGCATTTAATTCAAGTCACTCCTTACACCTACAGATCTGCCTTCCTGCTGTTCAGCATATGTTATGCATCCCCTCTCCGTGCCTGCTCCGTCCGCCTTGGCAATTTAATTCAAGTTGCACAGCATCATGCTTAGAGTCTCCAGTTTGCTCTCAAGTGTCAGCCAAGATGGCTGCTGTCATATTCACTTAAACATCCCATGTAGATGAGCCCTTTGCATGACAGGAGAAGGGATCTGGTGGGTCAGAACCAGCACGAACCAGGAGACACAGCATTTCCTGTTTCTAGCTGAGCTATC